GACAAAGTCGCTGACAGTTTTTTTAATTCACTCATCAAGTACAAGTCGAAATTTTCTTTTTTTTGCCTCATTTACAATTTCACTTTTGCTTATATTGCGAAATTTTTAGCCTTCAAAGGGTAGAGTCTCCAGTTTAGAAGTCCCAAGTGGCGATTGAACCAATGTGAAGTTCTAATTGGAGGTTCCTCTTATAATTGGAAGGTTGAAAGTGCTTGGAATACATATGAAAATTTATTTGCAGGGTTACGAGCCACTGCAAGGGCTGTTCCATGTCGAATTTTCTTGGGAAGGAGGGTAGAATTGCCTATTTAGCATATTTTTTTTAATAAAAGGCTCATGGATTTTAAGAATTTTAATCTAGGTAACGGCATGCTCCTCTAAGCCTCCGCTGTAGCCGCCCTTGGGCCACTCCTCACTTCTGACTGAGCTCTTACTGTCGAAGAAAGCGAAAAACCATAATATTTTTCTTGAATCCCTTGCTTTAATTGTTACTGTTACATCCGTACCGCAATTTTTCAAAGTTTTTCACTAAAAGCACTTAGAGAGAACAAAGTTTACAACATAATATAATACAAATATCTGTTTAATACCTTATAAATTACTATAAACGACTCCTAAACTACTGCAACATGCGTCTGTCATATGATATTTATTTCGCGCCAACTCTACTAACTCTACGCATGACGTCAGAGCCGCCATGACACCATGCGCGATATCCCCCCCTGCATACACTCTACTAATAATAATTGATTAAGAGTAGAAAAGCGTCCATAGTTTAGCAATACATTCCCTTCTATATCACATAATAATATGTCCTCGATACAAATAGTCAAAGTAACAAAAACAGGAGGCCAATGTAAATAAACAATAAACGGTCTCATGACATTTTATATTTTTAAATGAACTAGGTTTTTAAAAAATATTTTCTATACCTGTTATTTTTTATATTCAAGCGGATTTTTCTTGCTAATAAATTTCCAAATCTTATTTTGCTCTGGATTTATTGTCCATGTCATATTAAAAGGCTTTAGCAAACAATAAAAGATTTTATGAGATTGTTTAAAAAAATGCCTTTCCTTTTTTTACAAATGTCTCCAAATTTTGAAATAGTGACTCGTTTTCGTCTTTCATTTTGCTACAATCCACAATCATCTTGATCTCTTGTCACATTCATTTTTTTCTCATCTATAGACATTATCAAACTTTTTGAAAATCTTCTTTTGCAACGCGCATCAAAGAGTGTGAGAGATCAAAGCCACGCTCGAAAGCAAAAAAAAAATGATTTACTAAGTTTGAAAAAATATACATTACTTTAACAGTTTAAAGAGTTGTTAACATGCTGGAATTCATTATTCTTAACTCGAAGATGTATTCATTAAAAAAAATTCCCGTGCAATATAAAAGTTAATTTATAATTCAAATCTCATTGTATACTTTTTAATTTCGGATATATTTTTTTAATAAATAAATGATAACATTTATTTAAAATAATTGAGCGAAATTACTGTATGTAAAATAACAAAGTGTATAGACATAAAACAAAATAAATTCAAATCACTTGCGTACGTTTATCACTTGTAAACAGTAGAAAAGGATATACATTTTGTTGGTGTCGCCCTGAAGACGAAAAAGCTTTTAACGTATTTTTTTAATTTTTATTGAGAAAAATAAATGTTCTCGTAAAAATTAAAAACATATATTGTTCTCTTCTAGCATTTTTATTTGTATTTTTTCGATAGAAATATATCTTCTTACATTTTCTCAAAATAAACCAATTTAAATGTTCAAAAAGTGGCTCCTTTACATAATTTTTCAAAAAATAAAAAATAATCCGTAAAATTGGTGTACTACGAAATCCATTGCATATTATATAAATATGTCTATATTAGTATTACAGAAATGATTTACGTAAAACAATAAGGTGTACCTACAAATACGTAAACTTTAATTATCCCTCGTAAAACATCAGTAAAATATTTTGTAAATTGTTTTCATTCACAAATATTAATTTCTTAAAAATCTAACAGAGGCGCCACTTGCCAGACGAAAAATCTTGCAATGTAAGGGTTTCGTAGTACCCCACTTTTAAAGTTTATTTTTAAGAGAAAAAAATATGTACGTGTAGATAAAGGTTAAATCTATGCTCCTCTGGAACCACTTTTTCAAAATTCAATTTAGTTTTTTCTAAAAAAATTGAGAAAATGGATCAAAAAAGTCGAGTTTTGTTTTTTTTTTAGAAAAAACAAATTGAAATTTTGAAAAAGTGTTTCCAGAGGAGCACATATTTAACCTAGCACAGCGATATGGAAAATCCAGAGCTACCACGAATCCATAACTAAAAATTATTTCAGCGTCTATTTCTGCCATACTCCAGAGGGTCTGTAAACTGTAAAATAACATTTTTCTGCAAGTTATTATTCGTTCTGTTGTATGTTCCAAAAGGTTCTTTAAAGGAACTTCTGCAATAACATCCGTGACCTTAATTCCACTTGGTCTGTAGTTAGATTTAATTTGCCATATTTTCTTGTAATCTGGGTAGATGTTGCAATTTTTCATAATAGCGCAGCGTCTTATATCTAAATATTGCTGTTTGCTTAACCTAGAATCTAAGATGAGCTCCAGTGCTTCCTCTGCAGTATAGACAACTACCGGATTTTCCGAAGAAGAAAAAAGTTTTTTTTATTTTTGAGGGTTGCGTAGATTTTACAATTTCTTGTAAAATTATTGCAAAATCTTTATTTTTTTGTTGACATGCCGCTTTAACGACAGCTTGCACAAGTAAAGGCCAGTCCTGCTTATGTTCCTCAGCAACTTTTGAGGCCGTTCTTCTCTGAGATCAGGTGGATTGCTCCGAAAATAATAATCGTGGGCGGCTGGTAGATGATGTGGATGGAAGGGGTTCATTTAACTCAAGAATAAAATCCTCCTTTAGCCAGTCAGCATTTTGTTTTGAAAACAAATCTTTACGTCGAGAAGCCGCCTGCCATCTTGCTTCAAAACTTATACAAAGGCGAATAATCTTTTTTTCCATTGTGCCTGATAGTTTGTATTTATTGTTCTGAAGCTTTTGTCTTACAACTAAATAGACAAAAACATTTTCTTAGAATATCTAAATTATAAATGCTGGTACGGAACGAAAAAAAAAAAAACTAAGCAAAAACATATGCACGTGGGCTGTTTTATTGGTTTATCTACTTTCATTTCACTTACAAAAAAAAGTCCATATACAGTGAATTTTAAATACCTATTTTGGCCAAAAAATTAGCTTCTAGAAACCATAGTGCGTTCGGTCGAAGTTGAGGTTAGATTAGATTGAAAATGAGTGGGATGATCTCATCGCCTTCCACTGCGACCCAAATGGGTCTATTGTGGCTCTTGATTAACTTATAGTTCACCGTACAAGCTACATCTTTTGATTAAGGTCATGGTTGAATTGGGTGAGACTTGCTTAAAGTCAGTAGGCTCCAGTCAGGTAAATCCGAAGATCTGGGACTTGGTTCTTTCCAGAGCGGAGTAGATACATAAAATATGCTCTGCAGACTCGTCCTCTGCGCTGCAGAATCGACAGTCCGATGTTTGTTGCAGTCCTATCTTTCTCATGTGGTTGCCCAGACGGTAGTGTCCTGTCATCAGTACAGTGAAAATGAGTTCATAGAAGGGTTGGTTATAAACGCCTTCGAATGGGTTAGCCCTGGGGTATCTCTCCAGTTCGTGAGTGTTGCACCCTCCGTCCATTTTGAGATAATTCCTTTGGCAGTGCTTTTTGCAATGCCCAGGAACGGTTTTGGTCCTATGAACACAGATTCTTTTAGCAAAAGCATCGGCTCTTTTGTTGCCCTCCACACCACTGTGGTCCCGGAACCCAGATCAAAGTAACTTTGTTCCGGGCACCAAGGCATTCTAGGGTATTTATACAGTTCCAAACCAGCTTTGAGTCAACTCAATTGGAGCTCAGAGCCGTAAGAGCTGCCTGGCTATCTAATAAGATCTTTATAGTCTTGTTTACGGGGAGAAAATTAATCAACTCTCTCGCTCCTAATTTTATAGCAATCATTTCTGCTTGGAAGATCGAAAGCCTAGGTTTATTGATATGTCAACTATAGGCCTCTGGCCGAAAACTCCCGCTCCTACTCCTTTTTCAGTTTTGAACCCGTCCGTGTACAACCCATAGTCTGCCTGGGAGAGGGTTTTCCCCTCTACTCCATGCGTCTCTCTCTGGGGACCATCCTGGCCTCCCTTTCCAGCAGAATGTGAAGAAGGGTTAGGCCCAGCATGGTCTCCATGGCTTCCGTAGGTGTAGTTGACATTGCTCCAATTATGGCGAGGCACGCAAGCCGCTGTATTCCAGCCAGCTTTGCTCTGGCCGTCCGTTGAAGTCCCTTGTCCCACCAGACGACAGAGCCGTACGTAACCATGGGTTTTACCACTGTTTGATAAATCCAGTAAATCAGTTGAGGACTGATCCCCTATACTTTGCCGCATATCCTTCTAAGGGTCCAGAGAGATAATCTATCTTTGTTGATGGTTTTATCCTATTGGGGGTTTCAAGTAAGTTTCTTATCTAGGGTGATTCCCAGATATTTCACTTGCTCCGCAAATGGAATGGTTTCCCTAGCCAAAGTAGGTTGTCGAAGCTTGTCGAGCTTTCTTCTCTTGGTAAAGGGGACAATAAAAGTTTTGTGGGGGTTAACAGACATCTGATCCCTCTCGCACCATCTGTTGATCATATTAAAGGCTTGTTGAAGGATGTTGGAGATCACCTCTTGAAACTTTCCCCTAATTATGATAATCAGATTGTCCACATAGCAATGAAAAAATGAGCAGGTTCAGAATTTGTCAGAATATTTGTTTTTACGTATGTTTAGCGATAATTCTTTGTGTCTCGTCAGATTTATTTATTTTTTTTTTGTCAGAGGTGGATCCCATATACATTTGGTTAAGATCTGATGATGGGATCTATGAGAAAATCATCAAACGTTTAATTTTTAAAACTATTTTAATAAATATTCACACTGCACTGGAAATAAATAATGTTTGGTCATAAAATGTTTTTAATTTTAACAAATAGTATATCTGAAATAGAAAACAACAGAAATATTTTATTAGAAACAATTATAATTCCTCTTTTGTTCCTTTCTTATCTTCTTTGAGTGGATCATTTATGCTTCTCCAAAATTCGGCTCTTTCTTTTAATACATGCTTGCGTGTTTCTAAAACTGCATTATCAATTTGATAATATTCTTCGTTTTTTAAAGTATAAGGTTCCCATTTATTTGGAATAAGCTTCGTTGCCTGTGGAGTCGGATTTCTAAATAAAAAAAATGTACAGGTAAAACAACCAACTTTTCGAATAATAATTAATATTAATTGCCATTACAATAACTTAAAAGCATTTCAAAATCTTTTATTTCCTTATCAGAAGAACTATTTGATATTGCTTCTAATTACTTCTTTGAACATTTTTATTATTTAACAAATTATTAAAATCAAAATTCATAAATATTTAATAATAATTGAATTAATGTTTCATTACATCATATTTTATGTGTAACTATTATTTCTTTTTTTGCTTGTCAAAAGTGACGTTATCAATTATTATACTATATATTTGTTTACCCAGTTTTAGCAAAATTAGTCCAAAGTGTTGTAAAGATTTCAGCCATTCTTTTATCATCTTCTGTAGGTGGTACATCTGGGAATAAACCATCACCTACAGGATATAGGTATTGCAAGTCGTCAGCGTGAACAGTTCCTAAAAAGAACAAAATACACCTTTTTTACATTAAATTTACATTTTTTTTAAGTTGTGGGAATAAATGGTACATTATTTTAATTAGATACATAGCCGATTGCAAGAACGAATGTTAAAATCTTTCGTTAACTAATAAATTCATAACTTTATTCACTCCCTAAATTTATCTTCTAAATGGTAAATTTGGTAACTGCGGTTTTCTAAAAAAAAAAAAATTAAACGATATTCGAGATACGTTCCTATTAAGAGTTATCTCTGTCTTTGTCGACTCATTTAATAGAACACACGGCAGGTGAAGACGAACGATATGTTTTCGCAATAAGCTCAAACTTTGCCATAGGGAACATCATTTCGCGTTACAACACCTGCAAAGAAAGTCAGAAGCGCCAAGAGCCGAGACTAGACGAAAACGAACTTTTAACGTTAGAATTGTTTACAAAATATACTTATATTTGAAAAAAACGCAAAGAAAACGAATTTTAAGAAGATTTAACAATGAAAAATTGGATTTTACGATGGAAAACAAAGGATTATCCACAAATAGTAAGTCCTTTAATTATTGCTGCGTTTGAAATGTACCTCATCGAGCAGAGCAAGTAGATTTATTGGTCACATGACATCGGGCAAACCATAACTATGGAGCAAACGGAGCAAAAGGGGGCGATATCGAGTAAAAAAAAGCAAAACGAGGTACTTTTCAAACACAGCATATATAGGTACTTAAGGATCTTAAGTTGTCATAAAAGTTTCTGAAGATAGGTTATCAATAGATTGCTCATTTATATGTAAATCAGGCACTAAGATAGAATAGAGACGACATAAACACTATTTTGCGATATGACAGATGGAAGTGTAATGAAAATGGTGATTTGAGTGGTATTTTGATTTCTTTGAAGTCTATAATTTTATTTTTGAATACTGATGGAATGAAAATGATTTTATATCATTTAAATGAAGCTATTTAACAAAAATGGAATTTATTTTCACCAAAACCTACTAGACAAGAAGCGGGTTTCACTGGACAAAGTTTCTTCTATATCAAATACATGCAATGTTTTCTTTCAATTTTGAGTACTCAGTTATAAATTGTAAACATAATGTCAGAGGTAGAGTATTACATTAAAGTACCTATAAGTAGTTCGCAATGAATAGCTTCACAAAGTACTCATAATAAGTATCTGAGTATGAATACCCACTCATAGTAAATAATAGAAAAACGAGATTTTTGGGACTAATTTCAACTTAGGAAAAATATTTAATAATCATGAAGGCAGAATATGATCTGAAGACGTTTAACCACCTTATAATAAACCCAAAGAGTGTGAAATCAAATTTTGTCCTGAAAAAAATATGATCAATCAACAGGGAGGCACAATAAAGATTCAAAAAGGTTTAGAATCATATTTAGACACTAGAATGATTATAATAATCCTAGAGTATGAAAATTTAAAAAAATACGATTTCTAAATCTAATTTCGACCGAGAATTATATTTTTAAGTCTCACTTTACCGATACATTTAAATAGCTCGTTTCTACCTACATAATTTTTGGCTTGAGTCTAAGTCATCTATAAGTTATAAATTGATGTAGTTATATGATTATTTACTTACCGTAATGTTCGTTGCCTCCTCCAAATACTTTCGAAAAACTCGAGCTACCTTGGTAACCAAAAAGATAAAAGTAAACCGGTTGTTTATAGTGTTTAGCATAGAGTCGCGCTACATCATCAGAACATTTGAAGAACCAACCATCGGTATATAACTAAAATGAGAATAAGCACTGATATTATCAATTATATACAATTAAAATATACAGGGTGTTATTGAAATACACGTACATATTAAAATGGGGAATAGTATGTAATGACCAAAAACGATTGGCACCAATTTTAACTTCAAATTCTAAAATTTAAATATTGGGGAAGAGTCCCCTTTTCCGACCTACTAGTTTCCATATTTAAAGAAGTAAAATAAATCGAAATTGAACTTACCCATAGAAATTGCACTGTTGCCGTAGCAAAACCAATTAATTCAAAATAAAGTTTATTACAGTAATTGTTCAAAATGCCGTCCATTATTATTTACACACACTTGCAATCGTCTTTCCAAAGAACTTTGAACATTAGAAATTAGTCTTGGATTTTGTCGTAGTTCCTCGGCTACCGCATTAACTTTATTGGTTAATTGTTCAACACTATTAATAGGTTCATTATAAACCAGTTGTTTCATGTGACCCCACAAAAAGAAATCGCATGGATTTCAGTCCGGAGATCTCGGAGGCCACTTGGTAGGTTCATTTCTGCCTATCCACTTTTGAGGAAATCTAATGTTCAAAAACTGGCGTACGTTTAAATCAAAGTGAGGAGGAGCGCCATCTAGTAGGTACCACATCCGTTGCCTTAATTGTAACGGTATCTCTTCTAGGAGTACTGGCAAAATATCTTCTAAAAAGTGGAGATATCCTGGCCCATTTAATCTATTCGGGAGAACATAAGGCCCGATTAAATACTGATCTATTATGCCAGCCCAAACATTTATTGAAAATTTTCTTTGATGCCCAGTTTCCCTAATGGCGTGAGGATTTTCATCACTCCAAATATGCGTATTGTGCATATTGAACACGCCATCACGAGTGAATGAAGCCTCATCAGTATACAATAATATTTTTAGAAAATCAGGAATATTAACACATTTTTGAATCATCCATTCACAAAACTCCACTCTCTTTTCTTCATCACCTGGATATAAGGCCTGGACTTTTTGGATGTGATAAGGATGTAAACCTTGTTCTTTAAGTGTCCGCCACACAACAAATGAGGACACTCCAATTTCAAGACCTAGTCTTCTACAACTTAATTGAGGCCGGTTTTCAACAGCTTCCAATATTTCTTCTTCGGCCGCCAATGTTCTTTGTGTTCTTGTTCTCCCTCGATCTGCATTGACACTCTCAAATTTTGCATGGTCTCTTAGATGCTGAACAGTTGAAATAAACGTACGACAGTCCGGAATTCTCCGATTTGGAAACCGTTCGCGATACAGGATTTGTGCTTGCCGAGAAATTTCTCCAGCTGCCCCATAAACCAGCACTATATCCGTTAGTTCAATATTCGTAAATAGTGGCATCGTAAAAAAATATTTAAAAGTAATCGTAACAACACTTTTTACCAACTTGGAAATGACGCGCTCGTGTTAGCCAGATTCGTAAATCAACTAAAATTTTAATAATCTATAGTTTCAAAAATGTATAGTTTAAAAACAATCATTTATCAAATATTCTAGTTTTTTGATAACGAGGGTAGTAAAAACCAGTCTTCGGAAATAGAAATTAATTCGAAAATCTTGGCAACATGGTTATTTTTTACAAGACTAGTTTTCTTATCATCTGACAAAAACTTGCATATTAATTACTGTTGATGTTTAAAATAGGTAAATAAACCTAATTTATATAGGTCATCCTCAACATATCAGTGAAGTACGTTTGTTTTAGAATTAATTTTCAAAAATTAATAACTCCCTTAATAAGGGGTATTTTTAAAAAATAATATTTTTCTACATTCAGTGGGGATCTGCGCAATACCCAGTTTTAATATGTACGTGTATTTCAATAACACCCTGTATATTGTTACCCATCACCCTACAGTATGCTGTGGTCGTAATAAGTAAAGGTACGAGTAAAAGAAGAAGAAGGGAGAATATTAGAGAAATGTCTAGACATGTAATTCTAAGTCAAGAAATATCTAGACGTTTGGGGAAAGTTCTAGAAGGTTAAAGTGAGTTATATAAATCGGTGATCCTGACGACAGAAGTCAGTTTTATGATAGACATACGTTAATGTTATCGGTTGTATAGTTGAATTATTGTAAAAGTTGAGTTGAAATAAATTGAGATACCAAAAACCTGCGTAACAATATTAAAACAATAATAAAGATCTACGGAAAGTAATTTTGAAAAATTTGCAATGGGCAATATCTCCATATCAATAGAAACATCAAAAATTGCTTAAAACCGTTTAAAATAGGAAGTGTGAAACATTCAGTGATAAAGAATTAGCAAATGTGGTAAAAAGGGCTTGTAGATTACTACCAAAATTAACAGGGACCGGACTAGCCTTATAAATTAGTGCAATATGTTGGATATATTTCCAACACAGGAAGAAGGAACTAAAATATTTGCAAAAGAGTGAATAAGCCCCTATTAAATGTATAAAAACTGGGTTGTAAGCAAGTTTTGGTACTCTCCTTTGATTAGAAAGCTATGGTTCATTATAAATTATAAAATTAAGTCTTTTTTAAAAATTACTGAACACCTATAAAATTGAAATACTTACATCAACCACATCTTTAATCGAATCTTGAATTTTCTTGTCACCAAAATAAAATTTCTTAATTTTTTTGGTAATTTTATCTGCATCCGCTTCAGTTTCAGTTCGATCATAAAATAGAGATACTGGAACGATTTCATCGAATCTTTCCGCAAATTCGACCAAGAGATTTTCATTTTTATAACCTTAAAACATATTTAAAAGTTATAACATAGATATCTATATTAAAAAAATTTGATTTGTTATAGGTAATCAGATTTTTAGGAGTTTTGAAAGATGTAGAAGAGAAGAAATGTATAATATAATCATTATGATGTAGAGGAATACTTACGACACACAAGTAGGATACCGTAATATGCGTGAAAAGTCTCTTTTTATGTGTTATAGAAAAAGTAAATGTTTATTAAACTAAATAAAGAGTTAAAAAAGCACCAAAGAAAATCGCAAAATTTCTTAATCTGCAACATTCCAATAGATATACAAGAAATTGTTTCAGAAGAACATCAGCAACGCTGTTAACCAATGCTGGGGCAGATGGTAATTTTTTAAAACGCAATGGTGACAGGAAGAGCTCAGCATTTACCGAAAAATATGATGATTTCATTGAAAGTAAAAATAAAATATCTAGAATGATATAAGGGAGCGAAAACTTTGTATAGGTGTTGAAAAAAGGTCAAGATCCAATCTTCTACATCCATTAAGACGAATAATAATAATAATAATAATATAAATGTACCTTTCATAAACATTTCAGGTATGCAAGGTAGTATTACTATTATTATTAATCAATAATCTTGTTTAAGTCATAGGTATTTAATAAAATGTAATATGAAAGGAAATGAAATGAGAAAAATCGGTTAAATGCAATTTTGGAAATTTGAAAAACGAATAGTTCCCGATTCCCCTACAAAATTATGAAAAACGCACCCTTATTTGTAGGTGGTGTTGGGAATTATTCTTTTTCCATATTTTCAAAATTATATTTCACATTTTCAGGTCTTTAATTTCCCATACTTAAAAGCAACACTGGTGAACGAATGAAGGATCTTAGAAGTTTATTTTAGTACAATTAATAGATTGTCGTCTTTCTACACGATATCGCAAAGGTGGATTTAAGACTAATTGAAAGATTGGGATTAAAAACTGTTTGCGCCCGCAAAAAATCAGAAACTGATTAGAATTGAAGTCGAGGAGTTGGGGTGTCGATGCGATGTGCCTCGAAGCTCAACTGGTAAGAGCATAGAGCATTATTTATTCTTTCTTTAATTCCGTTTTTCCAATTTTTTTTTGTTTGTTCTTACTTTGGGAATATGAAGATATTTTTAAAATAGTGAAATATAATTTGAAACGTGTTTAATTTAGAGTATTGAAAATTAAAGTAATGACGTAAAGTGTCATTTCCTAGACTCAAAATAATGATGTAAACAGTCTTTTCCTAGATAGTATAAAATTATTAGTGTCCAGAAAAACTATAATTTTAACAGATTTGTATAATTTTAAAAAAGGCGATGGACAAAATAGGAATTAAATGAATTTCTTCAATGATGTAAACAGACTTTTCCTGGACAGAATACAATAAAAAAAGTTTAAATTATTAGTGGCCAGAAAAATCTACAATTTTAACAGTGTATAATTTAAAAAAAAAGCGATAGACGATAAAATAGAAAATAAATCAATTTCTTTAAAAATGTAAACCGACTTTTCTGGACAGTATAAAATAAAAAAAGTTTAAATTATTAGAGGCATAAAAAACTACAGTTTTAACATATTTGCATAATTAAAAAAAAGCGTTAGACGACAAAATAGAAAATAAAAGAATTTCTTTAATGGTGTAAACAAACTTTTCCTGGACAGTATAAAATTATTAGTGGCCAGAAAAAACTATAGTTTTACCGGATTTGTATATTTAAAAAAAAAGAAGATGGACAACAAAATAGAAATTAAATGAATTTATTTAATGATGTAAATAGACTTTTCCTGGACAGTATAAAATAAAAAAAAGTTAAATTATTAGTGATGGACGACAAAATAGAAAATAAATAAATTTCTCTAATAATTTAAACATTTTCTGCACAGTATAAAATAAAAGGCGATGGAAACAAAATAGAAAATAAGTGAATTTTTTAACAAATCTAATTTTTGATAATTTGACTAGCTAACTTGTTGTTTATCATTTAAAAAATGTTCAAAATTGATTTACCTGCTGCTTTGAGACCTCCATCTTCACTAGTAACACCTATAATAATCGGAACGTCCATACTTTTTCCAGATTTGATAATATTTAATGGATGATCCGGAAGGAATGGATCTTTAGCTGATTTTGGTTCTACAACGGGTTTAAAAGGAATCATTGGATCGTAATCCCAAAACTAAAAAATAAAAAGGTTTTTCTTTTTCAATTGTGTAAAATAGTTATGTTAAAACATTTACTTTTGTTAACTAGGGATGTGCTAAATAATCGATTATTATGAACAATCGATTATTTCTATTAATCGTATCTTTCGGTTAATTAATTATTAAACGTATTTAATGTATTTTTAGGCGATTGTCACAACTAATGACAATTTGCAGACTTATTAACATCCCTAAAGCATAACTTTTCTGGTCGCATTTGCTTTACTGCATTATACCAAAAGTATTTAAAAATTAAGTATTTAAACTCGTTTAAAAGCGTTTAATTGTATCTAAACGTATTTAAATCTATTTAAATGTATTTTTTAGGCGCCTGTTACAAAAAATGACATTTTACATCCCTTGTGTATAATGTATTTACCAATAAAATATTTAAACTCGTTTAAATGCGATTAAATGTATCTAAAAGTATTTAAATGTATTTCACTGTATTTCAACGTATTCAAACTTTAATGTATTTAAATGTATTTAAATGTATTTAAATGTATTTAAATGTATTTAAATGTATTTAAATGTATTTAAATACATTTAAATGTATTTAAATGTATTTAAATGTATTTAAATGTATTTAAATGTATTTAAATGTATTTAAATGTATTTAAATGTATTTAAATGTATTTAAATGTATTTAAATGTATTTAAATGTATTTAAATGTATTTAAATGTATTTAAATGTATTTAAATGTATTTAAATGTATTTAAATGTATTTAAATGTATTTAAATGTATTTAAATGTATTTAAATGTATTTAAATGTATTTAAATGTATTTAAATGTATTTAAATGTATTTAAATGTATTTAAATGTATTTAAATGTATTTAAATGTATTTAAATGTATTTAAATGTATTTAAATGTATTTAAATGTATTTAAATGTATTTAAATGTATTTAAATGTATTTAAATGTATTTAAATGTATTTAAATGTATTTAAATGTATTTAAATGTATTTAAATGTATTTAAATGTATTTAAATGTATTTAAATGTATTTAAATGTATTTAAATGTATTTAAATGTATTTAAATGTATTTAAATGTATTTAAATGTATTTATTTAAATGTATTAAAATGTATTTATTTAAATGTATTAAAATGTATTTATTTAAATGAATTTAAATCTATTTTTTTAAGGTGAAGGGGGAGAAAAAGTCCTTTATATCTCACAAGGAAAGTCAATGTTTAATTATTTAATAAAACATTGAGTGCGACCGGTTTCGAAGTGTCATCACTTCATCTTCAGGCTCGCCTAGTGGAAAAGAGAATATGTGGTGTAAGGTGTGTTAACACTTAGAGCAAACGATATATAAAATAGTAAAAAAGAGAAAACTCACCATACTCTCCATCCACTAGGGAATATTACAAAACAAGTTTCATCAAATGTGGGGTGAAATAAATTGTAAAATGAACAAAGTGTACAAGTAATAAAAAGTTAAAAATATTTGAAAAACAAATATTAGTCAATTGAAATAGTAAAATTTAAAATATTCAAGACTATACAAAACAAATCACATACATTAAACAGATTAAAAGATAAGGCTTATTTTAAACAACCTTGTTTTTTCAAAAAACTAACATTTTTGAAAGGAGACCTGTCAAGTTAAGGCCTCTACAGGTGGTGGCAAGTATTAACAAAAAAATTCTTGGGTAAACCCATGACAGGGTATAGGTAATAAGATGTAAACTATGAGTGAAGAAATATACATATAATAAATATATAATAAATATTTCTTCACTCATAGTTTACATCTTATTACCTATACCCTGTCATGGGTTTACCCAAGAATTTTTTTGTTAATACTTGCCACCACCTGTAGAGGCCTTAACTTGACAGGTCTCCTTTCAAAAATGTTAGTTTTTTGAAAAAACAAGGTTGTTTAAAATAAGCCTTATCTTTTAATCTGTTTAATGTATGTGATTTGTTTTGTATAGTCTTGAATATTTTAAATTTTACTATTTCAATTGACTAATATTTGTTTTTCAAATATTTTTAACTTTTTATTACTTGTACACTTTGTTCATTTTACAATTTATTTCACCCCACATTTGATGAAACTTGTTTTGTAATATTCCCTAGTGGATGGAGAGTATGGTGAGTTTTCTCTTTTTTACTATTTTATATATCGTTTGCTCTAAGTGTTAACACACCTTACACCACATATTCTCTTTTCCACTAGGCGAGCCTGAAGATGAAGTGATGACACTTCGAAACCGGTCGCACTCAATGTTTTATTAAATAATTAAACATTGACTTTCCTTGTGAGATATAAAGGACTTTTTCTCCCCCTGTGTGTATATTTAAGTATTTTACAGCTACTGAAATGTAATTAAAGATATTTAATTTTGTATTTAAGGTAATTTAATTAAATAATTTTCAAAATTTGTGTCGTATATTTTATCTAGTTAGTTTGTATGTTTTTATTATTACATTGTTTATTTGTCAGTATCTACCTCTTTGGTACTTTGTCTTTGGCATACGTTTCGTTAAATAAAGCCTATAGTTTGCAAAGGTTTACTTTATTACAATTTCTATACTATTTAAAAGAGAGTCTCTAATTTGCAAAAATCTAGTTTAACACACTGAGGTGAAATATTTTATATTTCACGAGTGAGAGTATTTCTAACCAGTTGAGAAAATCTCTCGCCTACAAATACATAAATCACCCTGTATGTTCAAATTTTACTTTAATATAGATTAAAAATTTACATTTTTATTAATTTTCCGTAATGTAATCAAAAATTATGCTATTCCTCAAGTGTTGGCTAGCTTGTATATTAATCAGAGGTTGTAACCTTCAAATGTGTACATTTCCAAAATAAAAATAATAAAGTAAGTACTTATGATATTTAAATTTCAAACAAGATGTCCATGTACGTAATTCTGTTTATATGAATAAATTAAATTATCCTGATGAAACAAAATAAACTATTTCTTCATTTACCCAGTTTTCAATCACTATGTACTTAATACCTAATATTTTATTTGAATTCAGATACTAAAACTACTTCAGAACATTCCTATAACACGTGGTTTTTAATGCACTAATATTTCAAATATCTAATTAAATCCGTTCTATTTGTATCAAATTTTATAAACTTTGAATAATTTCGACTTTTTAGTAAATGAACAAGTTAGTTTATTCGAAAATGCATGATAGCACAGTTTTTATGGCAAAGGTTTATATATTTATATAATTTTGGTATCATTCATTTCAAAATAAACTATAGTTGATTTACTAAAAATAAATGATATTCCCAACTGAAATTATTTAGCCGAACCATTTTTTTTCTGCTTGTAAAAATGCTGAACAATGACGAAATAAAACAGTATATTCCAGGAGAAAACAATACCCTGTGGACAACACAGACTAAATTAAAGGTTTATGAATAAAATGAGTATAGAAAATGTAAATAAATAAAATATATTTATTATTTCGCTTTATAACATCAACTAACCTTGAAAATTTCATCAAGTTCGACAAAAGTCCTTGCATCAACTTTTCTCAAACATTTTACCATATCTTCGCTCGATTCTGTTGGACAATTGAGAGCGCGAGCTAATTTATGAGAATTTTTTATTGTCTCATCGTTTTCCCCGAGTGACCATCCGCATAGAGTTGTTCCACTTTGAAGAATTGCGTTATTAAATAATCCTGAAAATGTAATATTCATTCATGATTAATGCATGAATTTGGAATAAAATAAACATAATATTTAATAATACACTATCAAGATACGAATATTGATAAAAATATTCTGTAATATTAACAAAATAGATAAAGGTGTTTTTGTTATAACATTAATTTAGTTATACCAACAATAAGGAAATAACAAATCAGAAAATCTAAATAAATTCATCCGTTATTTTAGTTGATAAACTAACAAAGCGCTTTTTTTATTTTTTGAAATAGTTATAAAATAATATACTGTGCACATCCACCCTTTCCCTAGCTACTCGTGGGATCTGTATGGAAGACAGACAAAAATAACAATGACAACGGGGACAATCCTCTCGATCGCCACGAATCTGGCGATGAACCGATAGAGATTTCTTCAACCCCATCAAACAACGTCATTCCGGAGGATGCTTTACTTGCATCACCCAACTCCAACGGAAATGAAACTCAGATGGAGAATGAATAGGCACCCACCTTCTCAAATAAACCTGAGAGGCACGCCAAAAGGTTCGCCGGAGCGACCAGAAAGCGCCTCAAAATGATGCTTCAGCGCGGTATTGACTGAAGCAGACCCTCAAAGAGTTGGAGAAGAGAGGAAGTGGTAAACCAACCCTCTCGAGTCCAACTAAACAATCTAGACAACCGGTGAAGGAACAAACCCCACCAAAGGAGTCTAGAACCAAACGTCAACATTCCGACGACAGCACTCCTAAAACGGAACTTAAAAAACTCCGTAGGGATGCCATAGTCGAGCCGAAACGATCATTCAAGGCCGCAACGGAGAGTGTTCGAGTAGGGATTATTCACCTAGAACACCCTGACGTCCAGTTTTCGAATGAACAGCTGCAAGCTATACAGCTCTCAATCATGAGAACTGTAGAAAGACAACTTGTGAACGGACCCCAAATCCGTTTCCAGGGCTGCATATTCAGACCAGGTCACCTCCTTCTGGACTGTGTCGGCGCTACAACGGCTCGATAGCTAGAGGGAACTATGGACAAACTTCGCCCACCACCTCTCCCCCAATCCCTCCCACTCATTAACAATGGGCAAGCCGATGCTTTTTCTCCAGGCAAATCTCCACCACTCCCAAGCGGCTTCATACGTCCTTGGCAGGAGGTTTGCCAAGGAGGAACTAGACATCGCTTTCATCCAGGAACCCTGGATTTCCAGCAACGGCCGGATAAGCGGCCTTGGAAACTGTTCGGGTAAGTTGGTAATCGGTAACTCTCCGGACAAACCAAGAGCATGTTTTCTTATTAAAAATAATATAAAAAAATTTATGTGGTTGCAGCCCAGGTCTCGATCCCGGTGGGAAACAACAGCAAGGATGTAGTAGTCTACTCTGCTTACTTCCCGGGAGACTCAGGTCAAGACCAACCTCCTCCTTCAGCGATAGTGCGAGAACTAGTTGCCTATTGCAAGAGAAACAACAAGCAACTCGCCATTGGGTGCGACGCTAACGCCCACCAAAGGAACTGAGAAAGTACCGATATCAATACACGAGGTGAGCAACTTTATAATTATATAATCGGTGAAGGGCTTATTGTTAACAACGTAGGTTCGGAACCAACTCTCGTGACGAAAAATCGTGCGGAAGTTCTAGACATAACAAACAGTGAGTCATTTGTGAGTGCCAATATTGTTAACTGGAGGGTATCCACCGAACCCTCATGCTCAAATCACAGACACATCAGATTTGACATGAGGACGGATCGGATACCTACTCTCCAATTCCGTGACCCTAAAAGCACAAACTGGAGTGGATACGAAAAGTCCCTTGGCTTAGAATCGTAATTAAAATTATTAAAAATAGCGCAGAAATTGAAGTGACGAATGATCAAATTTAAAATGCCCTTATTACTGTCTATCAGGACAACTGCCCACTAAAGGAGAGAAGATACCTGAGGGGTACTCCATGGTGGAGCAGAAGCCTCGACCAAAAAAGAAAAGAAGTTGAACATCTCTTCAATCGAGCTAAAGAATTTGGCTGCTGGGAAAAATACCGCAAATCTCTAACGGATTAAAACAAGACTATCAGAAAGGCCAAACGAGAATCGTGAAGGAAGTTCTGTCAGAGTATATCAGATTTACCTGCAAGTACCAGACTTCACAAGATTCTCGTCAAAGATCCGAAATAGGAAGTCGGCTCGATAAAAAGAGCCGACAACACCTATACGGACTCTGGTAAGGAAACTTTAGAAATTCTTTTACAGAAACACTTCCCAGGCAGTTGAATCCTGGAGCACAGGCAACATGTACCCTTTCCTTTAACGGAATCGATTATACGACCCAAAAAGTAGGACTGGAACTTTGTTACACAAATTGTTTCTCCAAACGCCGTGAAATGGGCGATGAATTCATTCTCCCCCTTCAAATCACCCGGAGAGGATGGCATTTTTCCCGCCCTTTTACTAAAAGGACAGGAACTCCTGCTACCTCTCCTTGTGAGGTTGTTTAGAGCAAGCCTGGCGTGGAGTTATATCCCACTAGGATGGACGTTGGTGAAAATCGCGTATATACACAAGGATGAGTAGATACCTTCCTACCAAACTCTTATCGTCCAATCTGCCTAACATCCTTTCTTGTAAAAACACTAGAGAGGATTCTAGATAGGCATATTAAAGAAGGAGGCCTTCGGGCAAACCCGTTATACTCCTCCCAATATGGCTATTAAACAGGCAAATCAATAGATGATGCCCTGCACAATCTAGTAGGCAAAATCGACCATTCCCTAAATAACGGGTAGATTGCGCTAGGTGCCTTCTTAGATATAGAAGGCGCGTTCAACAACGCCCTTCCTCAGTCTTTGTTCTCTTTTATTGAAAGAAGAGGAATCGACAAACTAACTTGTAATTGGATCAAAAGCATGCTGGCAAACCAGAACATCACTTCATCATTGCAGAGAGAGACTGTCACGTTTAGGCTTGCCACAGGATCTCCACAAGGCGGCGTATTTTCAACCCTAATGTAGACTATTCTGGTGAATAACCTGCTAGACGATCTCTTCCGATAGGGGGCGCATTTTCAATGCTATGCGGACGATCTGGTTATCATAAATAGGGGAAAGTTCGAAGAGGTGATCTACAACATCCTTCAACAATCCCTTAATACGACCAACAGATGGTGCGAGAGGGAGCAGATGTCTGTTAACCTTCGCAAAACTGTTATTGTCCCCTTCACCAAGAGAAGAAAGCTCGACAAGCTTCGACAACCTACCTTGGCTGGGGAAACCATTCCTTTTGCGGAGGAGGTGAAATATCTGGGAATCACCCTAGATTAGAAACTCACCTGAAACCCACAATTGGATAAAACCATCAACAAAGCCAGATTATACCTCTGGACTCTTGGAAGGATATGCGGCAAAGAATGGAGATCAGTCCTCAACTGATCTACTGGATTTACCAAACATTCTGCTAGAAAGGGAGGCCAGGATGGTCTCCTACAGGCTCCTGAAGGTGGGTAGTCAATGTTACGAAGAACTCCGATGGGACAAGACGGGGCTGATGAGTGAAATTAATAACCACCTCAATCTCGGCATGGTCTCGGACTCGCTAGTTTCCCGACAGCACATAGAAAAGCCATACAGCGTCCTCATTCCAGAGAGAGACGCATGGAGCAGAGGGAAAAAACTCTCTCCCAAGCAGACTATGCGTTGTACACGGACGGCTCCAAAACTGAAAAAGGAGTAGGAGCGGGAGTTTTCGGTCAGAGGCCTAGAGTTGACATATCAATAAACCTAGGCTCTCTGGCCACGATCTTCCAAGCAGAAATAATTGCTATAGAATTGGGAGCGAGAGAGTTGATTAATTTTCTCCCCGGAAACAAACAGATGCAGTTAAAAAATGAATATGTAAGTTAACAAAAATTCCCTTTTCCACAATTTGGTTCATTATAAAACGAGGCGTTGTGATTGAACACAGTGAAAAAAGAAAACATGTCGTCAGTCGTCGGATAGATGATGCATCTAAAGATGTGATTCGACGAACGGTTTACAACACGTATAAAGCCTTGGTTTCTTTGAACACTTCGTCGCGGTGAGCGGACAGTCCGTCAACCGTCGCGTTTTGACGATTTTATCCAACCAGAGTATTTAAATGGGAATGGTTTTCTTGAATCCGCTTAGCTGAACAGGACGGCGTCGTGCCGCTGATTTGTCGCGAAGAGTCGGTTGATATCTGTTGAGTTTGATATCAGCGGAATCGTCGGCGTGTGCGGAGACTATATTGTTATTAATTTTAAAACAATGAGTAACAAATTCACACATACAGATGACATCATGACTTTATTTTTAGGTTTCTTGGAAATTATGTCCTTTATAAAACTCAACACGAATTCAAAAAGATCTGTAGAAAGTCTAAAATACTCCCTAAATTTGGTTTCATTTCCAAAAAGCCTCCGCTGCACAGTGATATTAAAGGCACCTTCTGTATCGCGAAAAATATAACACGATTTGAAAAATCGTTTTTTAAAAAAAATATTTTTTATTTAAACAGAGTTATAATTATGTCTTTATTAAATGAAAGTTAACATCAGACTAAAAAATGCAAATAATAACCATTGTTAACACATGTATGCTGATAAAAGAAACTTGAGCTGCCGGCTGGTGGGATTCTTAGAATTTCTGGGCACCTCGGCAGTTTCTATGATATAATTCGCGACAGAAAAACAACTCATTCACTGGCTTATTGGAAACTTTGACGGTTGCAATTGCCAGTTCTTCTTGTTCTTCCTCTTCCAACAATAATAACAACGCAACCATTTTAGTACCTTTCGTTTACATTCATAATACATAAACAGCACGTACAGACATAGAGAAAGTATCATTTTCTATATTTTTTAACAAACCACCTCGGGCGAAAATTGCTGTCCTCAGCGGTCGACGGACTGTCCGCTCACCGCGACGGAGTGTTCAAAGAAACCAAGGCATAAAGAAAACCAAGTTCCAACTTTAGAGATTCTTTTTTCAAAATTACAAGATTCTGAAGATTTCAAATATAAATCATTAGAATCACTTCGGCAAATTTTAATAACTTGTTGTTTTAGATATAAAAAGTTAGATAATCGAAAGTGCATTATGGAATCGCGTCGAATTGTGGAATTACGTCAAATTTATTTACGGAAATTTTTAAATAGCAATAGAATGTATATAAATTTTTGAATTGCGTACAAGTTAGCGTGTACCTAGACACTGTGATTATTTACCTTTGCTTAGCGGTGAGATCATGTGATAATTCGAACTGACTCCTCCAGCAGATTCTCCGAATAGGGTAATTTTATTGACGTCACCTCCAAATTTTTTAATGTTCTTTTTAACCCATTTCAGAGCCATATTTTGGTCCTTCAATCCATTGTTTCCGGGTACAATATCATCACCGGTTGCTAAGAAACCCAAAGGACCTGCAGGGATAATAAAAAATTATAATAATAATATATTTATTGTCTATTAGATCAAAGTAAGTGATATGGGACGAATAAAAAAAATGTATTTTATAAAATGATTAACGATTCTATTTTCAAAGTCAAATATTTGAACTAAGTATTCAAATAGATGAATATAGGAACTAATTATTTTTATTATGCGATAATCATTAATTTTTACTGTCAGTTTCATCTATACCAACATCTTAATGATCCTTGAATTAAGGTCGAACTTATTTTACCTCTTTTTGCAATGAGAACAATTACTAATGGTAATCAATTAATTTTTTTAATCAATGAAATTAATTTGATATACAATGTGTCCCATGACCAAGAATGAAAATAGATTATACAGTCTTCAACAATACTCGTGTCTATGTAATTTACAATAAATTTTAAATGATTTTTTTACACCAATAAAATGGCATGTCACGAAGCCACTGAGTATGAGTTATATGTAAGGAAAATAGGGGACATCTGCAACTAGTTTCGGGCACATTTGACCATTATCAAGCATAAAAGTGGTCAAAAAACATATTATTTAGAGGATAATCAAAAAATGACATCTATTGTATTAGCACGACATCTCCAGTTATGTGTGCAAAACTTTCATTGAAAGGCCAGAATAAATTATATATAAATAAATATTTCATTTAGTAAAATATTCACTATTCTTTATGAGTTATCCTGTATACCGTTTCAAATCTCTACAACTGCATTATTGTGAGAGACACATTGTATAAATACTGTGTATTTTTATTTAACCAGTAAATCAAAATTACTTTTATTAAAATCTTATTATCTCGTCGTAAATTACCATTTTATTGAATAGATTATTGCGTTGATGGCTAATTACCAGGAGAAGTAATTCAAATTTAATGAACCATAATTGAGCAACACTGCTTGAATAATTGTGTATACTTTTTAAATAGGTAATATGTTGTTTTTATAATTAGAAGAACAACTATGGTTTTCACATGAATTTAAACAATCTCAACCAGTCATATGAAATAGAATTAATTACAGAAATGTATTATTATAACTTTCGGATTAAGTTACATTTCTTATACACTTTTAAGACGATTTCGTAGGAATATAAATAAAAATATTTAATTTAATTGTATTTCGTTAGTCATACATTTCAGTATAAGATAATATAATCAAAAATATCATAATTTCACATCTATAAAGCCATGGCGCACAACGTGGGGCATAAAAAAATATTAAAGAAATAGGGTTTAAGAAAAATCTATACAGTGAGCATCATAAGTCTTACCCCCCTAACTAACTCGTTACTGGAGTCTTGTTAGAAAAATCGCCGAGACACGTCGATTTTTGATTTCTACAATGTACATTTTTGTATGAATAGTTTACCCTTAATTTCATCCCTTACTGGAGGAGAGCAACCATTTCGAAAAATTTAAATGGCATGGGGTGGTGAGTGATAGCTCATTTGAAAGGGGGTTTTATTCTCTATTCAACCGTGCAAAAAATTTTGAAATTTGCCTTATTACGTGTTGTTTAATTAATGTTTAAAAAAAAACATCACAAATAGGAAAACAACTAAACTAACAGTGACCTTATCTAATGGCAAAAAGTCTTACTTCACGTCTGAAACAAAACCGATGTCATGCAGGGCCGAATTTTAATTCTAAAGATGAGTGCGCTATGTTAATTTCCGTTATTCTGAAACAATAATTAGTCGAGAATTAATGAAGCAAATTTCAAAATTTTTTGCACGGTTGAATAGAGAATAAACCCCCCTTTCAAATGAGTTATCACTCACCACCTTATGCCATTTAAATTTTTCGAAAGGGTTGCTCCCCTCCAGTAAGGGATTAAATTAAGGGTAAACTATTCATACAAAAATGTACATTGTAGAAATCAAAAATCGACGTGTCTCGACGATTTTCCTAACAAGACTCCAGTAACGAGTTAGATAAGGGGGGGGGGGGTAAGACTTATGATGCTCACTGTATATATAAAATTGTTTGTCCTGACTGACTGACCTATCAACCTACAGCCAAAACTACTGAGCCTAGAAAGCTGAAATTTGGAACATAGGTTTATTTTATAACGTAAGCATCCGCTAAGAAAGGATTTTTAAAAATTTTAACTTTAAAAAGGGGAAATTAGAGGAAATTGGGAGAGGGAGCTTTTGGTGAAACTCTTTGTTCTTTAAAGATAGAAACATGAAAAATTAAATTACAGCTACTAAGCATAAATAAATAATGACGTGTTTCAGGGTTTTTCGATTTTCACATTTTAAGGGGGGGAAAACGGGGGGTGAAAGTTTGTATGGGACTATTGATTTTTTTTGTTCTCTTTAAAATTAGAAACATGAAAATTGGAATTGTAGCTAATGAGTACAAATTAATAATGACGTGTTTTAGGGTTTTTGGATTTTCATATTTTAAGGGGGAGAAATAGGGGTGAAAGTTTTTTAAAGATAGAAACTTGAAAATTGGAATTATAGCTACTTATCACAAATAAATAATGAAGTGTTTCAGGATTTTTGCATTTTAACATATTAAGGGAGGAAATGGGGGTGAAATTTTTTTTAATACTATGTATATATTTTTTTATTTAAAGTTTGAAACAAAAATTTGAATTACAGCTACTGATTAAAAATCAAAAATGATGTGTTTCATAGTTTTTATATTTTCAAAGCTTCCGGTCCCGATTGAACGGCATTCTTTAGTGGTTTAGTTTTAATTTTATTTTTTTATATTTTTTTTTTTCGTTTAATGTAAAATTATTATTTTTTTATTTAATTTTATAATACTAAGTATGTATAAATGTTCTTTATGCTTTTAGTTTTTAATATGTATCTCCACAAACAAAACAATAAAATGAATAGAAAAAAATGGCATTTTTGTCACTTCTTAAAAACAAGCAAAATTTTTAAAAATTTGTACTTAAATTATATCAGCTATCCTTATGGGATTTGAAGAATCAACGACTTTTTTTCTTAGAAAGTCTTATCGCGTATCTTACTTCATTATTCTGTTTTACAACATTTTTATGAGAATTATTTACTTGATAATTAGATGTCTTGGTAGTTAGATGTATTATAGTAAATGAAATAAAAATTTTAAAATCTTTTTTTAAAAAAACGAATTTTGAAATTAGAAAATATTTGTCATGAATCTAAACTAAGAATCTACACAAAACTTCTCTCATTTAACTTTTAAATTTATTGAGATTCCAAAACATCGAGATAATAATTTAGGACACCCAATTTATTCACTTCATTTCCACCATACTGTATATATTGCACAGTGATTAATCATAAGCTAGGTAAAAATAATTATTATTATACATAATTTTAAATTATTTTATATTATTTATGTAAATATTTATTAGTAGTAACACAATGTAGGTAGTAACAATGTCACAATTTTTTATTTACTTTTTCTTTATAGGTATACGATTGAAATTTATTTGTTTGTTAAAAAGTTGTTTTAAACACAAACAGGAAACAAATTTTGAATAAAAAACAGTACGTACCTAACCTGTAGTTTGTAGTTACAAGTACCACATCTCTATCTAACAGGATGTCAGGACCGTACCAGTATGAATTACCACCGCCACATAGGAGTCCTCCGCCATGGAACCAGACCATAACAGGAAGAGGATCATTTTCAAAATTTGACAACTGCAGTAGTAATAAAAATAATTAAAACAATTTTGCAAAAATCACTTAGAGATTTTTGTTTTAAAATTCAATTTTTTTAAAAATTTGTGTATGTTGAATTTTACTCTAAACATTCCATCTTTCTTCATTAAACCGTACTTGAATTCTTGAGTGAAATATATAATTTTTTATGCGTCCAATAGTATTATACATTTAACATTAAAGTATTTTTTTTTTATTAAAAATTAGGGTTTTAATGGTTGTCTAAATAAGTATTATAGGGTTTATTTACAAAATTAAGTATTCTATCAGACTATATTCGTCCTTGCAAATCCATCTTTAATTTTTGTTATAAATATTAGATTGTAATATTTTTAGAAATTAATAAACATTAAAAATAATTTATTATTCTTTTACCTTTGGTGTGTAAACATTTAAATATAAACAGTCTTCATCCCCTGAAATGATATTAGATCGCCTATAAACATCCCGTTGAGGACATTCTGCGTGAACACCTGTTGAATTTTTTTCACCACTCCAAGGATCATTGGGTAAAGGAGCCTGAAAGAAATAAATATCAAAGTTGAACATGGATTTTTTAACAATTTAAATTGTTGTCCTTATTTCATCACCATTTCCAAAATAATTGATCTATAGATTTTAAAATTTGAAAAAATATTAACAAAAACTATAGAAATTTATTTTTGAAGACCACATTTGAAATTTTAACAAGTTTTGAAGTTACTAGGTATCAAAGCTGAAATTGGATTTTTTATGTTCCTTTATTTTATCACCCTAAATTAATTGATCTATAAACTTCAAAATTTAAAAAAAAAAATAAGTGTTGAAATATGGTTGAAATCAGTGGCGGCTCGTGGGCACTAGCGGCAGTGGGGCACACACTGGAAAGGAATACCGGGATTTGTTTTTCCCTTAGGAAAACAAGTTCTCAGCTTAATGAAAATTAAATATATTTCAAAACAAATTAAATATTACAAAATTGAAGACTAACTGCTAGGTACCGCTGCAGTTGTATACTATTTCTTAAAGTTGAAGTCCATTCTTCTGGATTTTTGGCTAGCGAAGTGATCGATGACCAGATTATTAAAATTTGGAATGGACCGAATAAGTTTTTTTTCGATGGATAACATGGCTAACGCGCACAATCTATCTTGGCACATAGTGTTCCTTAGAAATGTTTTAATACGTTTTAGTGTCAAAAAACATCTTTCACTCTCCACTGTGGTCATGGAAATTGTACACAGGATAGTTAGCAGCTCCACAGATTCCGAAAATGTAATTGTCAAATTGTTCTCAAAAAACATTTGTAATAACGGTACGACCCCATTGTGTTGCGCAAAGTCATCTCGGGTGTAAAGTATAGACAATTCGTTTTTGAATTTTAAGCTGTTTACGTTTGGAAATAAACTACACACAGTTTTAACGTCCTCATTTGGAAAACAACCTCGGTAGTCTTTAAATTTTTCACTATCAAATAAACTTGCAATTGTTAGGTGGGTAGTAAAACTAAAACGTTCATTTACCTGCACTACTATTGTATCACAAATTTCCTTACATATCCTTAAATTAGGAATGGAGTCCTCCTTTTCAACAAACCGTCTCTTCTTGCTTGTACTTGGACCTGATTGGGTGTTGTCGTTTAAGTTTAGTTCTTGTGGGTCTTCTTGTGATTGCCATTCTTCATAAATTAACGTGGCTATATTATTTCTAATATTTTGAATAGCTGCTGCAAAATTTGATATGTTTATCTTAACCTTGAGAACATCGAGCTGTCTACTCTGCAGTTGATCAAAAAGTATATCGCAATTTGGCATTATTTTGCTGAAGAAAAATAACTAGAAACTAAAATCTGTCTTTCAAAATTTATCAACCCTTTAGTCTGATTAATAGTTTTTTTATCGAATTCTGTGTTCATAATTTCTTCGAGACATTTAATCAAATCCTCTTTATAAACATAAATAGTATTGACACACTTTGATGTAAAATTCCATCGTGTAGGAGCATTTTAAAGCATACGACTCTGAAGAAAAGGTGTTTGGCAATTTAAAATCTCCCAGCGAAAAATTTCTCTTTTATATTTTCAAATTAGAAAAAATATTTATGTAAACATAATGGACGTATCATCCCTAATAAAAATGTCTAAAATGCTTTTTCAATGGTTTAATTAACGATCAAGTATTCTCAATTACAATGTTGTTGTGATATTGCCACTGTCTATTCGCGAACTGCCCACTGCGTTTATCTGCTTCTCCCGCTCGTCCATCCTAACACGTATAAGTATGGACAAGAATGTGTGGTGGGAAAAAAGGCACACCGCTGCTAACATTTATATCTCTATTTGATAGTTTATCAACTAAGCCTGGAATTTCCAACGCATACCTTTTTGAGATGAGCAAAATAGAATTTGGTTATCCTTGACAACAATTTGCGAAAATGTACACCATTAAATTATTTATAAGACTCAGAATTTTTTATATTCTTAAATATGCAAAGAGAGATTTGAAATCCTCGAAAAAGTCAGACAAAACCAAAAGAAAATTAAAATTTTGTCCCATTTATAAATATTATTGACTGCTTTGTAAAAAAAAGTTATTTTTCTTTGTAGTTTTATTTCTTAACTATTCCAATGGTCCAACTAACGTTTTTTCGTAATCACAATAAATAAATTATTATCATGATCCAACAAACGCGCACCTTAAGCCGAAACCGGCATCGCCTTTGTGAGGGAGCCGGTAAAAATGTCGCTGCGTACATTCGTATCTGGTCTAGGTAATCTGTGCCATAGGTACAGCACGTCACGATGACTACAGCGCCCCGCTTGTGACGTATAATCCATCGCATGTGTTCATCTCTTGCTAAGCGATATTGTCGTTGTCCTTGTTTTTCGCATCATAATGAGAGAGAAAACAACAGAGGCCCATCTTCCACTTAATTTCGGAATTCTCGGAACGTCGCTCAACGCCCGGCTGTCTGGTGTCGTGCCAACGCGGTTTGCGCGGAATATTAAATAAAATAATAGGCATTGACGAAAATATAAAATATGTAAGTTATTTTTTTTTATTTATTATACTAGGGCACGTGTCCAATTGCCCTTACAGGCAAACCGCCACTGGTTGAAATATAATTTTAAAAACCACATTTTGAAAGTTACAAGGTATCAAAGTTGAACATTGTCTTTATTTTATCAAAAATTAATACAGTTCGTTGTTTGATATGTCGTCTACGATTTCAAAAATTAAAATTATTATACACTCATTATTTAAGATTTCATTCAACAAACAAAGTTATTCATACTCTTTTAGAACAGAATTCAAAACAAGTTTTAATTAAATCACAAGAAGAACTGTTTCCATGAAAGTTGTGCTAAAAGAGTTTGCACAATTCCTAATGGATCTATAAAATTTCCAGAGTGTGTAAAAAGAGGTTAAAAAAGTTGGAAACCCCGTTGGCAGTATCAGTGTTGCCCCACAGGATTTAAATATGTCATCTGCAGAGGTGGTGAAGATTTTGAGCGACTTACAAGAAGCAGTTACATTTATGTCTGTCAAATTTGATGACTTAGTCAAAGAAAATAAGAGTGTTGTTAATGAACTAAGAACACTTAAAAACGAGAATTTGAGTCTTACAATTAAGGTGAATCAACTTGAAGAACGCATAAATTAAATGGAGATGAAGGAAATAGCATGTAATGTTGAGATACATGGTACACAAGTTAAAAGTTCGGCTGAGTCCAAAGTTGTACTAGAAATTGCTAATGATTTATTTCAAGGTAATATTCTAAATAATGATATCTGTGAATGTTATGCCAAAAAAACAAAAAAGGACCAATTATAATTACACAATTCTCTAATCAGAAAATAAAAAGAAGTTCCTAAACAGTCGCAAAGGTCGTAAAATTGACTCAAAAATGTTCAGCGTTAACAAGTCAATTAATTACCAAAGAAGCCACTATTTATGTGAATGAACAACTTGCAATTACCAATAGGAACTTGTTTAACATGGCATACAAATTAAAAATAATTATGGTTATACATTCTTGTGGTCAAAAAATGGAAGAGTGTATGTAAGAAAACCTTCAGTTCGAATAAACAAGAAAGAAGACTTAGATCTTCTTAATGGAATTAATAACTAATGTAAACAAAAAACTAACTACAGACTGTTGAATAAAACTTTATTAAAATGGTTAATAATACAAGTCTCAAATTTTATAATAATCTTGATGAGTTTAAAAATTAAACAAATCAATCTGTTTTTCTATATTATACTCAGTAGGTAATAAGTTAGATGAAATTGAAGCACTTAGTCAACTTGTCAATTTACCTGATGTAATTATTGTTACTAGAGCTGTAAAAGTAACGAGAAAATCAATACCCGTATGTATTCGTTACTTCGGATCTGACTACCCGTATAAAAATATTCGTTACTCGTTACTTTCGTTACTGTGATACGAATCTACAGAACGCGCATCGTGTGGGCCTCGCACACGTCTATGCAGATGCGGAATTGATGTCGGTAACTAATCGTACGTACGGATTGCTTCGGTTGTTAGGTTTTGGTACTGTCTAACAGATTAGCATCAAGGCCACACTCGCATTTCGCATCGCTCAACGGGCCATCTCGCATACCGAACCGGTGGTGGTATGTATTATCAAGTATTATTATTGTGCGTTATGCGACGATGCGGATGCGAGTAACGAAATTTAAAATGCAGTAACGAATTCGTATTTCGTATCTAACCGACTACCCGTTACTGAGTAACGAATACATACGGTTTGCCACAGCTCTAATTGTTACAGAGTCGTGGCTTTCTCCTGGCGAGGAAAACTATTTTAATTTGCCAGATTATAAAGCAATGTATGAATCAAGAAATAAAACGGAAGGTGGAATTGGCATTCTAGTAAAAGAAGGCTACAATTTCACAGAAATTGACAGATTAAGTGAAAAATGTTCTATGCTATTTATAAGATTAGAACAAAGGAACTTTGTTATAGGTGCTGTATATTATAGACCTCAAGATTTGGATAAAAACACTTTTTTAAACGTTTTAGAAAAAAAGTTATAAAATATTAATAACCATAAAAAAAATACGTTTATTTTGGGAGACTTTAATATTAACCGTTTAGATAAAAATGATATGTACAAAAGAAACCTTGATTCACTAAATTTTATTAATTTAAATGTTAGCATTCCAACTAGGGTGCAGAATAATTCAAGAACTTTAATTGATTATGTTTTGTTAAATGATTGATACTCCAGTAATTTGGCTGTTATTGATTATTGTTTAAGCGATCATAGAATACAGATATTGCAAGAAAAACACTGCAATTCAATTAGCAATGAAAAATATTATAAATGTTTTAAGTTAAATAGGTTAGCATGTAGAAGAGATCTTCAAGGTATAATTAATACTTTGTGGCAGGATCCAAATATCTTGTGTGATCAAATAATGAGAACAGTCCAAAGCAATAGGACATATAAAGACCGTTTTAGAACTAAAAGTTGTCCATGGTTTAACATTCATTTGCATAACCTAATCAAGC